CCGAATCCCTTATTTCTGAATCTTTATTTTTGTCTCTGTACCAGCTAGACCCGGGATCGGTCTACTGAAACAACACTTAATGTACGATCTAATGGATGAACATGTTAAATGTATTTAAGAATAAGGAAAATACACATTAATCCTTTAACCCACTAACTTGATTATAGAATAGAATATCTCTCTGACATCTTAAATGCCTTAGATATTCTTGCACTTAATCAAAACCTAAATGATCTCCTCAGCTTGTGCAGCGGCGCCGCCTCAGCCGTGCAGCGATGGTGTTTGTGTTGCAGGCTGTCGTCAAACTGCAGTTATTTCTTGTTTATTAGACAGAAGTGGGTCGTCTTTGTTCATGGCTGCCTGTGAAATGCTGGAAGCTCCATACTGAGCCAGAATATATGTTCATTTAATGTGGAGCAGCAGAGATGTTGTTAAATCCCTCCCACACAGAGATCCCTTATAGGGCTGATGTTTCCACACAAATTACTGCCCTGCTCTTTAAAACACATTTATTTCATCTACAGCCTCGTCCATCAACTTCTATCTATCTTTTGTTATTGAACCTTTTTTTCCTGGATAACCTCACTGAGACAGAACCTCATCCTCAGAACAAACCTGCTCTAAATACAAGATTTCTCCAGTTTTGTAACCTAATTACAGGCTAATCCATTTAAAACACGGGTGGAGAGCCTAAAACGGAGATGACTGTAGACTCATTTCCTGCTAATATTGGCCAAAGGCACACCAAACATTTGCTGTAAGCATCATCGTCTCTTTTGATTCCTAGTTTAGGGGCAGAATCTGTGAAAAATTGAGAAATTAAAGGAGATGAAGTTTCAGATTTTGAAGTGAACATTTAAAACCAAGGATAATTCCTGCCCTGAATATTACGGTCATAGCGCTGAGTATTAGGGCAAGAATGTAGATTTTTATTTTTTTTTTTAATAAGAGAATAAGTCAAAACATTATCACAATAAAGTCATGAGATATTATGCTTTTATTCTCATAATTTTACAAATTTATTATTGTAATTTTATGACTAAAAAATCTCTAACCTGCTAATGCTCCATCATATAACATAAACACATACAGTAAAATCTGTAAACCAGTTATTTATTATGTTTATAGCTGTTAATTGTGTTCTTTATGTCTTCCAAAGAAGTGTAATGATCATGTTTCCATCTAAAAGGTCTCATTGCAGTTATCTTCCAGCAGGTATTAGTAACTGAATGATGAAGTTCTGCGTGTTTATGTCTTGGCAGTATGCGGTGACGTTCACGGACAGTTTTTCGACCTCATGAAGCTGTTTGAAGTGGGCGGATCACCCAGTAACACGCGGTACCTCTTCCTCGGTGACTACGTGGATCGAGGCTACTTCAGCATCGAGGTAAGCTGTTGCTGCAACCGACCCACAGTGAGGAGGTCTGCAGGCGTAATCAAACACTTTAACCGTCGGTGAGGTGAATGTGCATGAATCTAATCACCAGTTGGCCTGTTTTGGTTCTTCTTTAATCATTTACATTTAAAAATGTTCTATACCGGGGCTAACCAATTAAAAATCATCGGGGTACGAATAAAGAAAATCATCAACCAGTAAAGGTCCGGAAACATTTTTATTATAATCTGTTACTTTAAACAGAATTTAACACTGAAATAAAACAAGGTTTTTACGCATCCATGTTTTATATTGACTTTTTAAATAAAAAGTATAAAAGATAGAAAGTTTTTACATTTTAAAATCAAAATTATTTTTGAAGTAGAGAACAACAATCGTTCAGTTTGGTATATAGACAATTTCCTGACTCACTTTTTTTTATGAAACACCTGAACTGAGTGTTTGTTATTGTTTTTTTTCTGTCTTAATGAGAGCAGAGGGCTTTACACTCGGGTTTGAATGGAGACAAAGTAGCAGCAGCAGCAACCCAGACTGACAGCTCATTGGTTAATTTCGATCACGTGCAGCCTGGAGCCGGACGCTCCCCAGGGCTTTACCGTATTAACAGGAGAAGAGGAGCAAGTGACGTGAAGACACTGTCGTCAGACAACTTGCAGTAATTAATAAATGTTTTAAATCGGGTTGGGTCCGCATCTGGTCCGCTAATCCATGACCTCTGTTATAAAGTCTTCCAGCTGCTGGGAGGAAGGATCTGTGATAACGCTCCCTGGTGCATTTAAGGTGCAGCAGGCTGCCACTGAAGGAGCTCTCCAGTTCAGCACCAGCTTCATGCATGGGGGGGGAGACATTATCCAACAGAGATGTTCATTTATTTAGGATCCGTCTGTTTCTCACCTCCTGCACTGAGTCCAGAGGGCATCCAATCACAGCTGATCTTCCTGATCAGCTGATCCAGCCGCTTCCTCTCAGCTCCAGATAAGCCACTGCTCCGACAGACAGCTCTATAGAAGATGGCTGATGCTACAGCAGTCATAGAAGGTCTTCAGGAGCGCTCCTAAAGACCTCAGTCTCCTCAGCAGGAATAGTCTGCTCTGACCTTCCTGATCCAGAGCCTCAGTGTTGGGAGTCCAGTCCAGTGTTTATACTGAGAGTTCTGCAGAAATCACTGCCTGGATGGCGTTTCCGTCTCCCTGACAGATCCTTCATCAGCTTCTCTGATTGGTTGAAACGATCGTCTAGCTACAAAAGTTCTGATTTTCAACTTCTGGCGTCTACGGCGTTGAAACGTGCCAAAGCTCCTCCTGACATTGACCTTTGTAGAATCTGCATGTGAACCAGCTGACGCTCAAAACATGTTACCTCTGATGTGGTGTGTAGCGCTCAGGGCTGCGGGGTTCAACGAGGAGTTCCTGTAACTCTGTGGGGTCACATTACTTGAATCAGTTTTTCTCTTATTTTTTGTTGTTGACTTTTGTTCTCTGTTTCAGTAAAATAACTTGATCAAGTCTTTTTTAGCATTCTACGGTACAAATTAGGTGATATAATTATGTATGGTTTGTCCTCATATCATATCGGGTTCTTAAAGGGCCAGTCACATCTTGCCGAATTATCCAGCGTCTGCCTGACATCCACTGAACTGGCATACACTGAACTTTCTATGTATTTTTTTTTCAATTTTGGGCGTATACATAGAGTATTCATAATGAGTCCAGAACTTATGACCAACGACAGTCTAACTTATGCATAACACACAGCAGCGTAATGCCCATGAAATGATGCACAAGCCAGTGTCCTGAGGGGGGCAGCGACGCGCCTGGAGGCGCCTGGCCTGCAGAAAAAGATTAATTCGATTGCAATATGAACCTGCTGCTGTTTACCGCCTGCCAAAAAAATAAAAAGAAAGAAAGAAGGTTTTTGGTGGCAGCTGATTGAGCATCATGTCTGCTAGGAAGTGTGTTGGTGGTTTTGCGTGAACGCAGGGAGGATCCATCACTCACCTTCTGGCTCACCCTATGATGGGGATGAAGTCTGGAGGAGAACTGACGGTTTCCTCCTGTGAACCCCCTTTATACCAAAAC